TATCTTAAGTAGTGTATTAGATTTACGTTGCATGTAAAATTTTAACCAGACTTGTTTTAAGTTTAAACCTTCATAACTATATAATTTTATCTAATTGGTTAATTATCTTTTTTGCACGGCTTATCTCGTAAGCACAGCTAAGTAGCTCGTGGCCACGACATATTATTTTGTGGGCATCACTTAATTATCTCTAGCGCGCCAAAAAGTAACTGGTTGCCACGACATAGTTTCTCGTGCGCACGACTTAGTATCTCGTGGCCACGACATAGTATCTCGTTCTCACCACTTAGTATTTCGTGAGCACATGATAACTAAAGAGGCACACATGTCGACTCTTTCACATCTTCATATATTCGTAAAAAACGTTATAAACTTTACATTTAATTACTTCAGTCGAGAGAAAGTCAGTTACTTTGATATAATCTGCATTTAGATTGTTTCCGCAGAAAAAAGACAAATTTTACAAGTGACAAAATATCTTTTAAACTGTCAGAACATTCAATGTCTAAATTATTTTTTAGATCTTTTTTCATCTGAACATAGCATATCATCGAATAACAAACCTCTCATTCATGCGTATCCTGGGCACACGTGAAGTTTTGAGCAATATGTATTGTATTTATAAAGTCATGGTGTATGTAAGGTAAATAGGGTTAGCGACGACTGATGGTTAAGTCTATGGATATAGTACAGTTTGTAGCACTCTTATATTTTGAAATGCGTAACTCGTTGTTTCGAGTATGTATGCGTGTGTGCGCACGTGCGCGTGTGCGTTTGAGATTATTTATACTCGCCAGTGGTTGCCAATATGGGCGAGTCCCCCAAAAGAGTATTAGTCATTTTAGATTATTAAAATGCCCTAGTTTTAAATACTTCTCCTGGTTCTTTAACGTGCCTAGTGTTTAAGCTCTCATACACGGGACCTCGATTTAAAGTCTCATCCGAAAGACTGATTAGTAACTTTAATGGACCAGCCCGTGAATCGAACCCACAATGTCGAGATTACAAGTCTCGCGTTTTTTCCCACTAAAGTCTGACTTTTATTGTTTTATTGCTCATGCGTTTGCGTGATTATCTGCTATTAGCGCTATTCTCGGGAACGTCTGTCAAACAATTATACGTGTATGTTGGATCAACGGATTGTCAAACAGGTTGCTCTGTTTAACGGTTAAAGTTCTGTTTGTATATCCAATGTCTTTAATGAATGTTAAAACGGCGAAACATACATGTACTTTTTCAGCTACTTCTTGCGGAGATTCCATTAACAATTTTATTTCTTAAGACGAAACGTTTAATTTGCTTGCAAGGTTGATTACAATCTTGACAGTTCTTATCGCTCGCGAATGAATTACCATACAGTCTAGCATGATTTTACTTTTAATAGAAAAGATGCACTCTAGACAACCTGAATAAAGACAAAGTTTCCATTATTATCAAATTTTTTAACTTTTCCTACTTAAAGAAATATAAATCTATTGTTTTTAAAGTATCAGTAAATCTTAAAGGGACTCTACTGAGGTTAAAAAGCCTAAAAACATAACATTTTAATTTATTACATAAATGAGGCTAGGGCACTTTAAACAGAAATATATGCAAAGATAGTTAAGAATTATACTTTGAAATAAATTAAAAATGGTATGTTTATACTTTTCATAGCCCGATTTGAGTAAAAAGCTTTTAAACGCTTTTCATTTTGTGTCATTTTTTTTACAATTTGAATAATTATTCTGGAAAGACAAAGCGCGCGAATAATTTGAAATTTTGCACAAAGATTAGTGTCCTAAACCTAAATCAAATGGTTCATTTATCTAAAAAAAAACATATTTTCTGTCTCATCATGTCAAAAACCTCAGTGGAGTCCCTTTAACATTACTGATCTTACTAACAATGTGGTATATAAAAAACCTCATTTTAGAAAATCTAAAAAAATAAATATTAATAGAAAATAGGTCTAATTATCTGTGATTTTTTTTTCATTTAATGTTAGTATAAGCTGCTATTTTATCCCATAGCGACTTGTATTGTATACTGAGTAAATAATATATTTTTAAAAATAGAACTTCAGAATGCCGTAAAATCTAATCTAGACATATACGCATAGATACATAACCCCTGCAATAAGTACTTCTTAAAGGTCCAATATGCATCAATCATGCTACCATTTTTATTTTAGAAAATGTTAAGTTTTTGGTTTCTTGTTACAGTTTTGAAAGTTAAACTCATTTTCCATATATCTAGGCTTTCTGCAACTATGTGAATATCTTTTTGGTACATTTCCCTTTCTTCACCACTCAATCACACGGTCAGCGCAGTATTTGTATAATTAGGTGTGTAATAAAAGTGTTAACACTACGGTGAAGCTCCTATAATGGGCTAACGAAACGTAATATACTATCGGGAACGAATTTAGCTGGATTTATTGCTATTTGGCCGTCATGGAAGAATTGATGTCAGAAGTACAATTAATACATTTGTAAGAATGTAGAAGAGTGTTTTTGTTTTATAATCAAAAGGATTGCACTTAAACTGTGCAAAAAGTTATGCTTTTATCAAATGCAAATTAAAGGTTTTTATTTCAGTTTTTTTTTCAGTTTAGAAGCAAAAATATGTATCATTGTCATGTACTGATTGTTTATATTTTTATATTTTTATTTTTATAAGTATTTGATATAACTTCAGAAAATAATGTGAAAATCTTTAAGGGATGGCGGTTGATAAGATGACTTCTTATGCAATATATTGTTCCATATACATGTACATTGTACATCTATTGTTTAGATTGAAACACAAATAGACAAAGAAGGTTACTTTCTTTTAAAAGGAAGAAATGAAACATGAGCAGAAATCGGCATTTCTTTTTAAAGAACATGATTAATTACCATTTTCTTTATATTTGCACATTGTAAGAAAATCAATATAATACTTTTATATACAAAAAAATTATAAAAACATATGGATGAAATAATCGTAACGACATTATTAGAACATTTAGAATAAAATTATCTAAATACGTTTTCTCTTGTATCTATAAGAGGACATGTGAAGAAAACAATAAGTGAGTACCCTGAAACTCGTATCTTTATATGCCTTGTTGAAATTAATACAAATTGCAGACACGTGTAAAATAATTCACAGGAGATCGAGAACTTCGACTGGGCGTGAGTTCACCCTCATCTCAGCTATAATGGATCTTACAAGTTTATCAGTTAGGCAGATTCAAGCTATTGATTATGAATAGGCGGGGCTATTTTCTTACTACACCTTTATATTATTCTATTAAAGAGGGTTACTGGTTTTGTTCATTTTATCGAAGAAATGATAGATTAAAAATACTTTAAGCACAGGCCAGTATACAGTAAAATTAGCAGAAGATATGTATTTTATTATATGAATGGAAAAAAAGAGCTATGACAAGTTTCTTATGAGAGTTATTTTCTTCTATTAATCTTATTTACATTTACATTTTACGCTTTACCTCAGAATCTGATTTTGACAATATTGACAAGAGGGCTTTTATAATTACAACCTGTATCTTTATTTCATTTTTAATGCTTGTAATCAATAACATAAACGATAAAGGTAAAACTAAGTTGTATTATAAAACAATTTAACGTTGTTTCAATATTTGTTTTCAGATATGAGAAAAATAAAACAACACAAAACAACACAGGTCAAAGACGAAATCAACTAGATATCACACAGTACCCGGATTTTAGGATTTGAACGATAATTTTATTGATTGTCTGACAAACTTCATTTCATCACGCTTTGCTTATTTATTATTGTTGTTTTTTTTTTAGCAATTAACAAACATATATTGAACAATAGATTACACATGTATCGTACTAAGTACGAATTAAAAGTAAAAAAATAAGTGTAGACCAAATTTTTATTTGTTTCTTTTTAAAACGCTAAAAAAGGATATATTAGATGATTTAATAGGTGATGTGTGAGTTCTTTTCAATAAATACAGATTTGTTTTTATCGATTGAAACTAGTATGAAATTAAATAGAAATTTCGCGACTAGTGAAATATCAGAACTTTCATGCCACAAGCCTGTATTTACATAAAAAAACTTGAATTTTCTGTTTATTGTATACATTTTTCTTTTGTTCGGCATTAACATTTGAAAGACTACCCTATAATTATGTGATTTGGCTGACTTTAGAAGAATGTAATCCGGCAAGACACCAGTGACAATATGGAAATAATTTCACTGTTACAGTAGTGAAAAATAAATAAATCGGAACCACTCATTTTTATGTAATAAATATTTCTCAATATTTCAAAATTTATATAAAAGATATTCAAGAATATAATGAAAAGAGGATAGGAAGTTTTATTTATAATTACGTGTTTTATTTCATATATACACATGTAAGATATAATAATTTGATAATAATGAAAATAACTCCCGTAATTTTAGAAAAAATAGTAAGATGAATAATTTACAGATAAATGCATTATTTTTTTATTGTATGCATATTAATATTGGATGTATTTTTCTTTCTCTACAATATATTCTCAAACAAAAGTCTGAAAACACGAATCTACAAATGATCAGATATTTGTGTTACTTTCGTCTACAATTAAAATATTCTGCGTACATGACTGTAATATTGACCGATTTAAAAGTAAGAGATTTCTTTTGTGAGTTTTCATCAAATAACTCCGAACAACCATTCACAAGATAAACCCATTTAAAATGATAGTGGCGTATCATATATTCGACGGACGGACAGGTACAATGCGTTTCGTCTGAGGTTTAAAAGATAGGGGAATTATTCTCCTATGTCAGCTATCAACTATATATCTCCCTCTGCATGTAAATCTGTTGCTGAAAAAGCGACTGTAGGTCGACCCCCGGAAAAAGGACATCTATAATTTCCTTTTTTATTCTGGAACGCATTATATGAAGTAGTAATTGTAGTACTTCAGAAAAAAGTGTTGATATCATCTTATGCAACAATATAGTTTTAAAATATCCTTTTATTTTCAGCGACTCTTATTTTAAACACTTGTAATCATAATCCAGTGGACGACGGGAATTATGTCTTTCCATTCTCAGGACTGTTTATGTTGCTAAAGGTATATGTTTTATCATAAATCTTAGTAACTGTGATATTATCTCCGCAAGTCGTCCGAGAATTTGAAATACAATGCCATAAAAAGATAACATTTCGCTACTTGCTAGTTCATTTATAAGGACATTAAACCGTTGCAACTTTTTATTTTGTAAATATTTTATTAAATTATACACATACCCGACAACTGGTTGCAAGTAGATCCGTAGATTGCAGTTAAAAAATTTGTGAGCTTGTTTTATTTTTATTTTTGTTTCATTTTTTTTTCCTGAAATCGATTGCTGCACAATATCTGATAGAAAATTATGTCTGTAAAAAGAGATCAAAAACATATATCAGTAATTTGGTTTAAAATTGATATGTATATAGTAAGTTCTGCCTGCATCATGCTGTCCTACTCGCAACATGTTCATGGTGTGATAAAACGGTTGTTTATATCTGTATCAAGTGAAACATAACCGTTTTGTCACCCCATGTTGTAAATTTTACTTTACAAGTTTATGGATATTTATTAACAGTAAACATATATGTTGATGTTTTTAGACCCGTTTGTGTGGGAGAATGGCTTTAATGTGCTGCTGCAACACTTTATTTTAAGTCTCTATCACATTTTTTTAGGACGAAAACGACGATATGTGTCCAAATATTCCTTTCGCCGATGTGATAACTGAAGCCGTGCAACTAAAACCAAAGGAAGGAAGCGTTGAAGTTAGAAATCTTTTTGAGCTGTGCTACGTTAAAAGAAACACAAGTCAACCAGGTCGTACTGTTCATACATGCTTATCTTAGAGTTTCCAAACAAATGTCAGTAATCGTATAACGATAATAGTTACATATTCCAAGAATTAATAATGTTCTTCTGAAAAGTGTTGTTTATCATAATTATCAACGATCAAATGATATCAAATAACCGATTAAAATTGCTAAGTTTATTTGTCGTATGCGGAAATAGATTAATATAAGGATAGTATTCTATGCCAAATGATATCAAATAACCGATTAGAAATGCTAAGTTTGTTTGTCGTATGCGGAACAGATTAATATAAGGATAGTATTCCATGCGTACTAATTAACTAATGGCTAATTAGTAATGTAGATTCATATTATCCACTTTATATCATGTTTGAATGTGTATAATTGGTAATATTATTTGATTAAGAAGAAAAAACATAAACAAAAAGTATCTTTAAAAAGATACTCGGCCGAAATCAAATTTGTTAACTTGCATACTAGAATAAGCTACTACTAACCATGCTAACAGCAAACAGAACATTTTATTCGTCCTCGATAGTTTTATTTCAGTTCATTTTTACCCTCAATGTTTTTCCCCATTAGTTGTCATCTTAGCTTTAAACAATATTGCTTACATTATTTGACTTTATTCAAAATGGAATTTGATTTGAATAGGAATTTATAATAAAACAAATATTTAGTAGATACTGAACACAAAGTCCACGGAGAATTTTGAAACTGTAAATTAGTCAAAAGTTCGTTTCAATCGTCTTACGCCCGGTCCGAGAAGAAAATATAATGCCTAGAACAGCTTAGAAAAGAAAACCCAATCGAACACAAAGTATCAAAAAGGCGATCAGTCATATTTAATTTCATATATTTATTGAAAAGCTGTTAGAAACTTCTAGAAAACACTTCTTGTCATCTTGCAATCGAACAGACCTCTACCTATAACGACAGTTCTTCTGAAGTATTAATCGAACAGGCTATTGGTGTTAAAATGACACATGAAAATTCTGCCTATATTCATTTCTTTACTGTTAATTATAGCGGAATTCAAGGTGAAATCAGACGGCATTCGGCCGAAAAACAATGTTTGAGTTTTTATTGTCGATGGTATATTAATCTCACTTCAATTTTCTCCGCATAATGCCCATAAACTTGAATTGCGTTTCCTCGAACAACGTAAATGCATCTGTTAAAAACCTGGCGGCATTGTTCTGTTTGAAATGTTCAGTGCATTAAATCATAATTATTTTTACGATCATAAATAATTGAATTCTTATAATATAATTATAATAGATAAATTTAATCGATGAACTGAAAACGTTAGTACTAATAATTATCAATGCAATATTTATTTTATGGCATGCTAAATAAATAAATTACTAGATAAATAAATAAATAAATAAAATAGAAAAAAATAAGTAAAATGAAATCAAAAACATAATCGGACAATAAACACAATGGAAACTTTATTTCCCATATGTTTGCATGTAAACTTTTGTTTTCTATGAATAGACCGACATAAAAATTAGCGAATAAAAACAAAGCTATTTCGAAGCATTGCAAAATGATCATGTTTACAAATAGCAAATCTAATGTCAAAGATAAATGTCAGCATGGGATGTCAGATATACGCCATACATATTTGTTTATTAGCGTGAATATATTTCTATATTGTTCTATAATACTTACTTAATTGTAACATTTCTTATATTATCAAATTGTGTACGTCTAGTCTAGACAGCAGCAAGTTGTTTCAATGTCACTCGTTTACTGGCGCCATTTTCATCATTAGTTGCCTCCCAAAGGAAAGTTTTCGTTATTGTTAATTTTGAATATAAGCATTTCTATAGATTCAGTAATAATAGCGTTTTAACTTCAAAGAAGTTTTATCCAAAACAATTAATGATTATTCGATCTCCAGGTAATTGAGTGAAGATATATATCAGTTATTGAATGTGCAATTTTATATGATTGTTTGTCAATCATGCCGTGCTCGAAGCAATTTTCAAGATTAATTTCAACATACACCTGATTCTCGTCAATGGCGTATTTGTTCGTCACACGGAACTCTACTTTGAATGTGATCCTCTTGATAAAATATATACATATAAACATATATACGAATATTTTGCTCTTTCAGCAATATCAAGCTATTTATATATACCCCAGAATGAACTTCCATACAAATACAAAACAGGTAAATAACCTTTTTTGCTATTATAGTAATGTTACTGACACGAGTCTTGACTATACTTGTTTCAATTATTTTCAGTTTCAACACTTATTTTGATTATTTGAATTTGTTTAATGATGAATATAGAACACATGGTAATGTCAGTTCTATATGTGGCTCTTTAAAGTTTCGTGGTAATTTTTTGAATGCAAAAATAATGTATGAAGTTTGTCAAAAATGTCATTTCTTTGCATTTATTACATGCATTTATTCAAAATTATAAAACAATAATGTTGGAAAGGCAATTTATTTTGGGAAACTGTAAATGCATATGTTAAAAGATAGGGCGTCAAATGGACCACTATTGTTTTGTAATGATTAATGTATGGACATATTGGTCTACTTTATTCTGTGTCAACATTTCTAAAGGTATTAATAATTAATAGTAGTTCTTGCATGTATTTGTTTCTGTCATTCAGTATTTGCGATATCAAATCCGACACTTATATTTGGGAACTCAACTTCCGCCAAACCAGGCAGCTCAAAGATCCAAGGTAAAATTAACATCATTGATGACCAATCTTCCACTTTAAACTGACTAACATACTTAAACAAGTATGCATATTTATCCAGAATTTCATCCCTTACTTCATTTAAGACATCTCTAAAGGTTTTACGCATCGATATTTTCAGATATTTTCTATTAAACTGCTATCCGTGGAGTTCAGTGGTTAAAGATTTTAAACATTTCCTTGGCTCTTCTTGCACGCAAGACTGTGCTTGATAATATTATGTAAAAATCTTCGGACTGAAAGGAAACATATGTAAACATCTTTAGATATTAATGATTCGGAACATTTGCTGTGTCGACTTGAAATACAAGGCTTTTTAATAAGTGTTGTGTATGACTGCTGTATATTTCAGTTAGATTTATTCATAATAAAAAATCAGTAAAATATTAAACAATACTGTTGGATGTATATTGTTAATGTCCCTACACAGATCGTTTGCTTTATCTACATAACCCAATATACAGACGCCTTTGTTAAAATGCTGTAGAGGGTTTTTTTTTTCTTTTTTTATAAAAGGCTTTTTCATGGAATGGCTAGGAAGTGCCACATTGAAGGTTCAATGATGACCGCCGTATGAACACCTCTGCGGATGTTTCAAAATTCAAAGTTTTGCCATTTCAAGTTTAAATGTTGAATTTTTCTTAAGCCGGTGCTAGGGGGCGTGAACGGTAATATGCACTTGACAATACCATGAACTTATTCAATCATTCAGAACCTAAAAAATTTTCAATTTTGCCGTTTTTGTCTTTCTTTAAGGGTTTTTATTTTTCCTATCTATTAAGAGAACATGTTAATATCTTGCAGCTACTGACAAACCCTTATGGACACACATATACGATCATACAACAACACCATGGTTGGTCGTAGATATTGGAAGAAACTTTATCGTGACTGGCATACAATTTGACAATTGTGAGAACTTTTAGAACATTTATATGATACTTCAGTAAAACAGTACCTTTCTAATAATGTTCCACATAGACTTGAGAAAAGGCCTTTGCTAGAGCATATTGTATTACACGGTTCTCATTTTATTGATTTATGTTATATGTAGTGATATTATATCTAATTCATTTATAAAACATAAAATTGATTAATTCAGTTAGTCATGATATTGATTTTTATTCTATTACATTTATGATCATAGTACATGAAATCAAAAGTTGTGTGGTATTTCTATGAAACGTTCTGTTTGATAAGTGAAATAAACTGGTTTAATGTTTGTGCAATTTACCATCTTTCTTTCTGCTTCAGATTATTTGCTTCAAGTTGTTTCACGTGACTTTTTAGGATTTAGAAATACTTCTGTCTCTGGTTGGCCCTGTCAACGTTGGGATTCTCAGAGTCCACATGAGCATAGTATGAAGAATAATGATTATTTTCCGGATGCAACAGTTTCGGATGCTGAAAATTTTTGCAGGGACCCAAGTGGTGATGGGTATATATGGTGTTACATCGATTTGCCATATATAAGATGGGAGGAATGTGCAACTTCTGGTAAGAGCTTTGTTTTCTGTTTTTCTGAAGTATTGAATAATTTTTTTAATGTACCATAATCTTCCTTTGTTGTTGATAAGGTAACATACTCGGATTCTTAATGTACATTATTGATATGTCGCTTGTTTATAGGCAATGCACAGCTTTTTATGACCGTTTTAGTTTGATGGTTAGCTTGTATTCCCGAAAGAATAACAAAATCCTCGACGGAAAATTAAAATTATGATACATCAAGTTAAGGGCCTTTCCATGTTTCAAACTACACTCACAGAGCGAACACTCTGCCACTATGCTATTATCCTAAACGCATGAAAAATGAGTGATTGACTGTTAGGTAAAAAAATGACGATAGATATTATGTTTTTATATAAGAATAATCGATACCATTTTTTGTCAATATTGATGTAAACAGATAAGGACGATACTATTCAGCTGTAATTCATGATTATATTTTAAGACGAATAATATTTTGCGATATAATGATTGTTCAAAGTAAAGAAAGTGATTGATTTAGTTATCTTTGAAAGAACAATGAGTAATTACATTTATTTACAAAGAAGTACCTTATTCGATATTGTTGTATTCTATACCCAGTTTATACAACAACACCGGGTTATATATTATAATGACAACAATTGATTAAACATCAGTTTACAGTTTTAAAGAAACAGAGAGACCTTTCATTGAATGTTTCATCAGTGAGACCAGATGGAGACTAGACAACTTTGAAGGTGTCCGTTGTGAATACTCCGTATATTATGAAAATGACATATTGTACTTCGAATTTCAAAGGTATGGCTATTTAAACTAGTAAATCGTACTTAAATTATTATTAAATAAGCATTAACCTGGCAAGCTAAACGATCAGAAAATGTATATTTTACTCATGCGCAGACTTCGAATTAAAGAAAAATGATCAAGTTGGAAAATGTAACCATATATCGTTTTCCCAAAAGCCTTTGATGTTATAAATATGTTTACAACTCAGATGGAGCATTGGCATCAAGTGTTATTATTCAGTTTCCCTTTTTCATTATTCATGCGCTCTGTCTTTTACTTTCATATTTAGAACCACCACTTGCCATATATATTTAGTGGTTAAATTGAACTTGATGCAATTGGTCTAAAAATAACACTTTTAAATGAAGGCTGATTCTGTTATTGTCAAAGTCAATTGTAATACTTTTATATTTGTTTTGAAGAAAATTTACGTGTTACCAACATATTAAATAAAATACACAATAAATCAATAGAATGAATAAATTTACGTGCAGCCAACATATAAAATAAAATACACAATAAATCACTTTAATTAATAATTAACACAAAAAGATAATATAATGAATAACTTTTCTTGTAGCTAACATACTAAATTAAATACACAATAACTAATAAGTAATTTAAATAAAGGACTTGACAGCATATGTTCTTCCAGGCCACTTGAAGGTCGATATTTAAAATTGATTGGTCACGAAGGAGCGGACATGCTACAGTTTCATAAAGCTATTAGAGACATTAAAGTTTTGACTACCGAGTACTTGACATGTATGTTTGTTTTTAATATTATTTTTTTGTTTCTTATCTAAATATCTACTTATTTATTAAGTTTCCTACTTTCATGGTTTTTCAATTCAATAAAATACTTGTATGAATTATGAAGTACTATAGAATATGAATAATGAAAAAATGTCCCCAGTGTAATCTTGTTGTATTATTTAGTAAAACCAGTATTCTTCTACAAATTTAAAGTGAAGTTTTGGTCACATGAAAACAACAATAGCTAAAACTTTGAAAGGATTATATTCTCATATTTGAAATAAGTATATAGACTTTTTTAAGAAAGGCAATATTCGCATTTATATGAAGCTGTGTGTAAATTAGAATAAAAATGATATTTGGTATTCTAAAATGTAACCATGAGTGCGATTTGTTTAATGCAGTGCAATTTAGACCGAGAACAGCAATGCAAAACCCCAAGTATTTCTATAGGGAGTATGTATTTCGTTATGCAGGGGCCTCCTTGGCCGAGTGCTTAAGGTCGCTGACTTGAGATCACAGGTCCCTCACCGCTGTATGTTCGATCCTCACTTGGGTCGAAATCTTTCATGTAAAGAAGCCATCCAGCGGGATTACGAAGGTCGGTGGTTCTACCCAGGTGCCTGCTCGTGCCTGATATAATGCCCGAAGGGCCACCTGGGTTATTCCTCCACCAATAAAGCTGGAAAAAAATCTCGGCGGGACGCTCTAGGATGGCCCGACTTGATTGTACGGTCGTCGATATGGGCTTTCCGGCGGCGACCTTAAACGCATTATAAAAAAAAAAAAAAATACGTTATGCCATGAACCTTCATAATATTATGACGGCTAAATAAGTTTTCTTTGTAGATGATGGCAGCCGATGTAACAACGACCTCGGTATGGGAGATGAAAGTATTTTGGATTATCAGATAACAGCCTCATCATGGCTTGAACATACACCACCCACGTCAGGTAGACCGTTCTCGCCCGGATGGTGCGCTAGTTATTCGGACAGTCAACCACACATTACAGTAAGTTACCCTACATGATAAAGATAGCACTCCTGTCCGGCTGTTATACGGTTATCTAATATGTACACATTTATCAGTATTTTATATTTCAGTATATTTTACAATATTGAATAATAATAATAATAATAATAATAATAATAATAATAATAATAATAATAATAATAATAAACAACAAATATGATAATTATGAAAAATACCCAAAAATAATAATCAATCATATAATAATGAAAATAATCGGAAAATAAAAGTTCCTCGTCTCTGCAAGCTGAACTACACTTGTACATTTGCTCTTCCAAATGATGAAAAGATAATTATACTTTGACACACCATGAAATTGTTGTAAGAATATGCTCAATACGTTTTCTCGCTGCTTTTTGTTATAATTTTCTTGATTATTGATTTCAAGAATGTAATGGTTGATCGGTAAACACCGCTTAAGACGGTGCTAGGGGGCGTGTGATATGTTAAGAGATGCTGCTTTTTATCACCATTAACACTCTCGATATAACCGAGTCTGCCATTTTTTAACTGATTTTTGTTGTTGTTGTTATTGCATCGATGGATCTCTAATCTTAATAATTGTCAAGTAGGAAAACATCCGAAAATATGTTTAAATCATGGAACAGAATTGAATGTTTAAATTCAGGTTGACTTGGAAACCAATACACACATTGAAGGAGTTACATTCTACAATTGGGAGTTTATTGAAGAAGACACTGCAGGTGGTGTATTCAGAAAGAAATACTTACCTATAGGAAGTAAGAAAGTGATGATTAGATACAAGAACGCAGATAATGAGGCAATTGTTAATAAGGTATTAAGTATATATCGTTGAATGTCGTTCTATGTAAATATCTTTAAAATTTTCTTTTTTGAGGTTGAATATTTATTTAAGCCAAGCTGTATTTCCAACACAAATATATCATCATAATTCCAGACGCGAACGATATCTACCTCATGACGTTTCTTGAAAGAATAGAACACACTGAGTATGACCATAACCAAGTTGTTTTACAATACCGATTATGGTCAATGATATTATGTTTTTCTTTCGTTTTTCTTTAACTTAGGCTATATGAATCTGGTAAGGAATTGCAAACAGGAATTCAGTATATGGAAATTAATGTTGAAAATGTTGTGTTACATGATATATATGTATTTAGGCGACGATCAATGAAAGTAAATCATTCAACCTTTAACGATGATAATTTAACTTATGTGAGAACGATTTTCACTCAAATAACTAATTGAGACTTATGGTTTTGTCCAGTGCATTGATAGAAAAGCCATCGGTACAGCCGCGTACCTTCTGCACGCATTGTGAAAATATAATTTAACGCCACATGGGATTTTAAAGAGAATATTGTCAAGCTTATTGCCAGTCATTCAAATCGACAAAATAATATTGGATAAAAAGTTTTCTTTGTTCCGACGTTGGCAAAACCATAGGTATGCAGAAGTTTTGTTATGCTTTCAGAACTACAGTTTTAACATGTTCTTGCCAATAGACCAGCCACAGACCTTCAGTCACAACCCAGTGCTAGCGCGATATGTATCCATATACATCATTGAATCACTTATTCAAGAGGCAACGTGCTTACGTTTTGAGCTGCATGGCTGCAAACGCAACAGTACTGTTTCTATTTTTAATTGATATTAAGGATAACTTTTTAAATATTAAATGAAAATAATGTGAATGAATGGTAACGAAGTCGGTAGCAGTATATCAAACGCATGTAATAAATGCTTTATAAAAGCATCAGAATATCGGAACGTTTTTAGGATACCGAAATCAACTTGATTTCGGTAACTTGCAAAAAAAAAGACAACAACATTCATTACCGATATTAACTCAAAACACTACAATTAAACAATTGTTTATTATTTAAAACTCAAGTAATACCTATTGAATAGAACTTACATGCAAACAATCACTGAACAATAATTGATATTGATGATTTTAGGAGTGAAAATAAATATTAGAGCTTACTCCTACAATTGCAAGGAGGCTGCTTTTTCAAATAGTATGAGAATAAATTACGTGTACATAGTTGACATAATATTCATTTAAAATCATCGATATCAAAATAAAGGCTGTTGTGAAAATACATTGCAAGAAACTATAGTTCCAGCCAGGGGCTAGAAATTGGAAATAAATAATTAATTATCAATTGTGTTCATTCGCTGGTTTAATTGAGTGAAACAATATCATTAATATAAAATATATCACAAATACAGTGATGTTACTTGATGAAATTAGTAACATATATGAGCGCAATTAAAAAATTATGGGAATAAACATTTACAATATCCTTTGCGCATCATACTTACATAGTTTTATCTTGTATTTCCAGGTCGCCCTAAACTACTTGCCATCGAATGGCATTCAAATTATTTACAAAAGGAAGAAATGGAAACAATAACAAGCATACAAATACTGAATGAACCATCTATAATAACAAGTATTAACTATCCACAACAATATGCCGGAGGCGAAACATACACTTGGAAAATTGTTTTCGAGTCTGGCAAATACATTCAGCTTTTATTCACGAACATATTATTAAATATACACACAGTGGGTTTAGCTTTAGTGATTGTACAATTATACAATTTTAACCTTTTCTTATATTACCTTTCGATGTAATGCTTACGAACGTAGTTGTTAAATTCAATATTTCTCTGTATGTGAAGTTAAAGCCCCGGTTCCACATCAAAGTTCGAATGGAAAAGCAAAGAGTGACGGTATCTTGTCGCTAGCACGGTATTGCACATGACTGCAGAGGCATAAACTTTATGTTAATCTAATGCCTGTCTATGCATTCAAGAAATGAATCGCACTGATATAATACTACTCTGATTTTGCAGGTAAATCATTGGGGCGATTGTCAAGACATGATCTCATTACATCCTGAATATGTGAAAGACAGGATGGCGATAACTGAGGACGTCAAAGGATTGGTGACATTAGTAGACATGGACTCATCTAATATGACATTAACATTTACTTCCTGTAGACCAACGTCTAAAATAAGGAGATCTGGAAACGGTTTCAAAGCAATTGTACAAGAAAAAGGTAATTTATCATTCTTATGTTTTATACAATCATTAAACATGTTATAACATAAAATATTAATACACAATTTTATATATT